AGTCTAAGGCCCCGTCCACATGGAGACGCGTTTAGCTGTATACGCATAAATTTTGTATCCTATAGGCATTTTGTCCAGACGGATCCGGCGTTTTAGGAGAGTGAAACCGATATTTTTTGAAACCGGGTCCCAGAGTGGATAAATCTGAAAACGCCGCCCTTGCGTTTTCGTGTGGACACCGAATCTGTATATTTTCTGAAACGATGATGTCATCAGCCCACGTCTTGCCCCCAGTCAGACACCGCTACGTCACGTAACGGCAACAAAAACATGAACAAACATTGCATGATTGTCTTATTATTAACTAACATTAACACAGATTAATAAATGTATTGTTCCATTTCGTTTGTATACCGCGCGCAAGGTTTATGCGCATAGTACAAGACTTCTCCGTTTTTAGTGTATCTCTGTGGCAGAATTACATGCTGGTCTGGCATGTATACTACATCGTTTTGTGTCGGTTTTGTGGTTTCGTGTGGACGCAGATATTTCTTGAGACGAGGGGAAAAAAAGATTGGATAGGGAAAGCTCTGGCTTTGTGTGGACGTAGCCTTAGAAATGAACTCTCCTTTCCTCAAAGAAAGAAGACTTGGCTTTCATCGAACTGGCAGAATACCAAGTACTGTGTGAAGGCATCTGACACAATACAAAATGCTAGTTACTTATTGCTGGAGCTTATTGAAGTGGAAAAAATGTGATAGCCGAGACGCTGGTTTGATTGTTTCGTTTTGTAAAAAAAAAACAAAAACAGTCATTCTGAACCTTTTTGGGTTTATTTGCTTCCCGCATTTTTGTGACTGTAATATCTCATTTAATAGATAGTTGTCAGTGCTCATTTTAACAGACTCAAAGTTCTTTGTCAGCCAGTTGTTGCTTCAAATTTGAGAGCCTTTTTTAAATTTCAAATATCAAATTACATTGACTTCTCAAGCCCTAATTTCTAATGCTAATATGTATGCAGATTTTATGACCTCATATTAATTGAGACAAACTGGAATATTTGTACTTAAAAAAAATCACACAAAAGTGCCATTCTGAATTAACTACTAGTGAAGACAAAGATGTTTAAAAATGGGGAAAATGTATGTATCAAAAGACCCAAAGATATATACATTAGGTTCATATCACTTTTAAACTGCAGTATTTATGTTAAAATTCCTTGGAATATGCCCATTTATTATAGTTTCTGAAAACAAATAATTCTGATGCATTTTATAGAGTCTGTACTATATATTTTTTTATTTATTTATTTTACAAACTGGTTTTGCAGTCATAACAGTAAAGAGTAATATTAATGATAGCAAGAATATCACTTTAGCTGTCCTTTCTTTGAATTTCTGTTTTTAAAACCATAAGAATGAAAATGTGTTTTTCGCAAAACTGTGAACTTGAGATAAAGGCCACTGCATGTTTTATACCTTAGAATAACACTTTGCTTTTATCACTACATGCTTATTAATTGGACAGTGACATTGCATATTTGTCATTAAACACTCTTCTTTGCACTATCCAACCATTTGCGACCGTAACTTTTGTTGTTCTGCTGGGAGATGCTGAGAATGTCTTTGTTTAGCAAGTAATTACTGTAGTTCCTTTCTGGTTCGAGCAGCTTAATTACCGTATTGGCCCGAATATAAGACGACCCTGATTATAAGACGACCCCCCTTTTTCCAGATGTACCTTTTGGAAAAAGGCTTTTTAAAAGCCAAATCTGTTTTTTTTCTCAGTAAAACACATTTTGTGTTCAATTATTTTCATATTGCATATTTTTCCTATTTTAATTTTTGTTTTGAAAGTATGGTAAAAACTGGTAAAATGTACCAACAATCACATTAAAAAAATATACACTTTACGACAGCGTTTTTTCAGATGTATTTCCAAGAAAAAAACATTGTCTTATATTCGGGTCAATACGGTAGGTGCTGCATGCTAAGTGTGGGGCTCCTCTGTGATGGAGAGCCAAAAGCAGCTCTCATCTCTGCATGGAGGAAGGGAGGAATATTAACTTTGTGTTGCGTCTTGGCTCTGTATGCATGTATGTATGTGTGTGTGAGATGGATCTCCTGGTGTGATTAATGTGCGTTCTCAGAGCAGTAAACCACTTGTAGTGCTCCGTCTTTCCAGTGCCACTGATTGCTTGTTTTTGCAACTTACATTTAATTACAAGGTGACCTCACACTATCCATACACTCCATCACCGCGTTGCGACGAGCTGCTCTTTGTGTGGGGTGAAAGTACTGTAATGTTTGAACTTGAATGCCATGTCCGTTCAACCTCAGTCTGCAGGATGAGTAATTTCCTGTTCAGTCTGTTTATATGCTCCACGTTCATATATTTAACTGCCACAAAGCTGTCCCCGCACATCCTACGACACCTTCCTACGATAATCCAGAGAGGGTTTTTGATAGATGAGCCTTCTCTTTCTATTAGCAGCCCCATTTCACTCCTTCCATGCTAATAACCATCTAATTCTCACTGTTTATGAGCTGAAGATCAGTTTTCTCCTGTGTGGCAGGTGTTAGTCTGACCTCTACTTTCTGTGCTCTCTTTACCTGTATATCTGCATTGTTATTTGCCTTCATTTCGAATGCTAATATATGTTTATTGGGTTTCTCTTTTGATTAGTTGTCATGTCAAATTTTTGGAAAGCAAATATAACCAGATTAACTTCAATATCTTGAAACTTTATAGCACAATATCCCTCCTACTGTGAAGGCAATGTTTCTGTCAAGTGCCCTTATCCGTTTGGTTGCTCCAGATGTTTGTGTTAGAGCTGGATTCACGTTGAATGTTGTAGAAATAGGCTCACGCAGCTGGGCATAAATAGGCAATCATGTAATCTTACCACTTTGTATGTGCTCCCTTTGAATTTTTAATCAGCCTCCAGTGGATTGAAACCAGATTCTGTTGAAGGAATGGAATTTCACAGGTGATTCCACCTGCTTGTGTCACATTGGCTGATAGAGCTGATTATGGCCATACTCTGATGTCTGCCTTTTCCAGACTGACTGTCCCCATAGAAAAGATCGCCACATGTTGGCGATTATGAGATTAGATGCAATTATGAGATGCTTGGCGTCCTTTGGGATTCTTAGAGCTCTGCAGAACGACTGATCAAGAGAGCGCTCTGGGGTGTTGTGCTTGATTCATCTCACAGAGCAAGAACGATTTCCCTATTTACGTCATTAACATGGCAACGCTTCATTTAGATTTGACAACTGGTTGCTGTTGTGGACTGTAAAATCTAATTTATTAGTTAATGTCATGAGAAAAGCATGCTTTATATAAACAGAGATATCATTCCATTAAGCTTGATGTCTAAAAAGGTCTGAAAAGATTTTCTTTTTTTTTATTGAATGGGGGATGTACAAAACTGCATATTTAAAAAATCAGCTAGTGTGTTGCTTGAATGTCTAGTCAACTAATTGGCCTTAAAGTCTGCGTGAACCGGAAGTTGCTGCCGACTTTATTTCAGTGTAGTGACGTATTTCCAGCTGAAACGGAATATTGAATAGAGGGCATGGTTTTATTTTTGCGCTCCTCCTCTCGGGCTCTCACTCATAGCAATCTAACGGTTGGAGGGGTGTGTTTAAGGATATTCTGCCCAAGCCGTCAAACTGACGTCATCAGAAAAGGAATGCCATTCCAGAGCGGAAGTAAATGTTCAGATTTTGATTAAAGATTACGAAGACAAACAATTTTTTTCAGCGGACTAACTTGCACGGATTAATTGTTCACATCATTACTAGCAATGTGCGCTAGTAAAGTAAATAAAGTCAAATTTGATTTCATGCGGACTTTAAGGACAGCCTGTATAATTAGGCAGGCTTCAGTTTCATCTGTCCCTATTTGGATGCATTTCTTAGGTAGCGTTTATATAAGACCAGCTGAACCCAGTGAACTATAGATTCATTTTTAAAATTATACTATGTTAACTGGAAAATGTTTTAAAAACCAAGCACTCGTGTTGAGATGGTCCCCCAAAAAAGTCTGAGATGCAACACAATGAAAGTTGGTCTGAAAGAATATGGATGTAGATATGGTGCTTTTAAAGAGGATTTAAAGGTGCAAAGGGGTTTAGTGTGAGAACTGTATTGCAGGCATTGCATCCTGTCAACATCTTAAACATACATTATACATCATATTATTAATATATAAAATATACTAGTGCTGGGCAATAGACGATATTGTATTGTATAAATTGTATAATTTATGTCTAGCAACGATGAAGCTCTGAACATTTTTAGTCGATTTAGATTAATCTAAAAGCGGATCTCAGCAGAAAAAAATACAACAGCCCAGTCAGTGCATGTCATTAATAAGTCTACATGTTCTGCATATCTCTGTGTGAATGAGTGGCGTAGTTTTGTCTGCTTCACGAGCTCAGTGTTTTCAGCGTCTGAGGACATGTACACATGAACTTCATCTCCAGAGCTGCTCTGAAAGTCACTTCACAAGTTTTTCACTGGTTCATTTGAGAAAAACTACCACTTAAAACTGTGAATTTGTTTCATGTTCACTTGATCTTATGTTGCTCTGGCAAATGCAAGCATTGTATAAATCATCATTAGTCTTGGCAGATATATTGGCACTGCTGTGACACTCCACTGGCTGACACTGTGCTTTTATTACAGAGGATGCCAGCTCCGATCAGACTGCGGGAGCTGATCCGGACAATCCGGACGGCGCGAACCCAGGCCGAGGAGCGAGAGATGATCCAGAAAGAGTGTGCTGCCATTAGGTCATCCTTTAGAGAAGAGGACAACACATACCGCTGTAGAAATGTGGCTAAGCTGCTTTATATGCACATGTTGGGCTACCCGGCACACTTTGGCCAGGTGAGAAAACAGTATTTCAGAAATTACAGGAATCTTTAAAAGGGCTGCAGGAAGCGCCCACTTTAAACAGACAGAATTTTGCAGTGTTTGATGGGCAAAATCTCATTTTCAGCTGGAGTGCCTGAAACTGATTGCATCACAGAAATTCACAGACAAACGGATAGGATACCTGGGAGCCATGCTACTTCTGGACGAGAGGCAGGACGTTCATCTCTTAATGACAAACTGCATCAAGAAGTGAGTGAGGCAGGGATCTCATCTTGTTTCAACACTTCCATGAATCACAGCTGGCTGTGTGATTGGTGGGAGTTTAATGTGACCGTTGTAGGTGGAGAGTGGAAAGTGCAGGTTGATGGGGATCTGCTTCCTGAGTGTGATGGCATCTTAAATTGCTCTCTTTCTTTGTTCCATTTAGTATCTCTCAAACATCTTATTGCAGATCTTCATTTCTTCAAAAAAAAAAGGCACACCAGTGCCCCATGTTGATGTAATTGCCTCTTGATTTTTCTTGAGGACTCGTACCAAAATTTTGACTGAACAGGAAACGATTGTGGTGTCTTAAGCATTGCTTAAATTAGATTTTTATGCTCTCAACAGCCAGTAATTCACGACAAATTGTGGTCAGAACAAACCATATTTAATGCATTTTAAGCAACTTGCATTGCATTCAGTATATGCATTTTTATCAGTTTGTGCATTCCCTGGGAAATAAACCCATGGCCTTGGTGTTGCTAGCACCATGCTCTACTGTTTGAACTACAGGAATGTTGCATGTAATTGCCAGCTCTCATTGAAAATGAATGACTTTGGTCGCTTTGCTGTCAGTTCTTCCTAGATTAATTTGCACTAAAATATTATGGTGTTTGATTGGATGCACAGCCTTTGAAATAAACAAAAGATACAGAAAGCTACCTCAATTTCTCCATTTTAAAAGTAGAATTTTTTTTTGTCTGAACTATTGAAATATATTTAATTTTAGCATCCTTTTCCCCCTGCAACCCACCAATTGAGAATTAAATTAAGCCTTAAATTATCGTATGCATTGCTGTGCATCTTCATCTAATCTTCTCTCTGCAGTGACTTGAACCACAGTACACAGTATGTGCAAGGACTAGCCTTGTGCACCCTGGGCTGTATGGGCTCATCCGAAATGTGCCGTGACTTAGCTGGAGAAGTGGAGAAACTCCTCAAAACGTCAAACTCCTATCTGAGGAAAAAGGTATTACACACTCCTTCACAGCTGAACGTGGACTTCATGTCCAGTTGGATGTCGAGCTCTGAATGTGTGAATGGTTTTGACATGAGCTCTTCGCCCTCAGGCAGCACTGTGTGCGGTTCACGTCATCCGCAAAGTCCCGGAGCTGATGGAGATGTTCCTGCCAGCAACAAAAAACCTGCTCAGCGAGAAAAATCATGGTGAGAGCTGCACTCTTTAACCTTTCCCATAGGTCTCATTTTATTTTGATTAAAAACTAATAAACAGATGCATCGTTCTTACTAAGCAGAAAATTTTCCTCGTATATGCCTTAACATATTGAAAAACTGATGCATGTTAAATAAAAAATTTAAACTTTACATTTTGACAGTTTGATTTAAGGTGGATGCTGCCAACTTCTTAAATGGGGAAAATTAGCAATTTCTTGAAGGTTTTTTCTAATGTAATGTTCTAAGCCAGTGGTTGTCAAACTTTTTACACCAAGTACCACCTCAGAAAATATTTGGCTCTCCAAGTACCACCATAATGACCAACATTAAAATACAGTAGCGTAGTAGGCCTAATTATTCAGCTACAGCTATGCACATTTTAAAAATGAGGCAGTTTTATTCCAAATAAGAATATTTGTTATTGTCTGCCACTTTAAACATTGTAAATACAGTTTGAACATTAATACTGCACTGTGCTTACATACAGGTAAATAAAAGTTTTACTGAGAAACACTCAGTTTCTCTTGTTAATACATTTGGCCAAAATCTCACGATATAAAATACGAACAGCTATGATATTTAAAACGTACAAAAGTGTATTGGCAACAACTAGACAGCAAATGCCAAGACTCTTCTCTGTTCTTTATACACACAAAAACATTAGCCTTTATAGACAGCGATTCTTGAGTAAAGAAACGCTGTACTTATTCAAACATCAGTTCTTTATTTACCCTTGCATTGTGAAGAAGTAGACATCTGTCTTCAAATGCGTGTTGCGGCGCTTCATTCTGAATGGAGGCGGGGTGGAGTTATGAGGTTTGACTGACAATGAGGATCCAATGGCGTTACAAAGTTTAGTCACAAGCTCTTTTGAATGCTTTTCATTGGTTAAAATATTGTAAAACCCACAAACCGACATAACAATGACCAGTAGCACTGATTTAAAATAATAACGAAATATAATAGAGATAAGGAAGTTTTTGATAATTTTCCATGGCACACCCGACAACAGTGGCTGGGAAACACTGTTTTAACATTAATGTATATTTAAGTCAGTGATTCCTCTGCGTACCACTAGAGGGAGCCCGCGTAATCAGTTATATTGTTTAAGTTACTTATTGATTTTTTTCCCCCTGTCCTCAATGTAATTTTCTGTTATTAAAAAAAAAACAAGGTCATCATCCTCCATAAACAAAATAAGACAAAATTACAGAAATCTGTATCATATCAAATTAAGCAAAAATGTTCAAATGTGAAGTTGACGCATGTAAAATGACTGTCAGTCCCTCGTTAAGCATTAGAAAACTTTAGCTTTTTTAATATGTTCAGATTTAAGGCAGTCACATTCAGCAGCAACAGGAGAAAATTGGTTTGTTCATTTTCCTAATGTAAACAAACCTGCTCACGAGTTATATAAGGAAATCAGTGTATTGTTCTGTGTTTTCTGCAGGAGTTCTCCACACATCTGTTGTCCTGCTCACTGAAATGTGTGAGCGAAGTCCTGACATGCTCTCTCACTTCAGGAAGGTATGTAGCAAGCGTTCATGCCTTGACCTTCAGCAGTCACCTCTAAAACGGTTTATGCACCACATCAGCCACTCTTACACAAAAGCACTCTTATCTGTTGCTGATAGCGTTGACATGACTACTGAAGTGAGACTGTAGTCCTTACTGAAATCTGGATGCTTGTCCTGGATTTAGCTGCAGGTGTGTTTATCTCAGTGGGAGATGAATACGGGTTCTTCCTCTCTGTGTATCTGCTTCTAATCTTCCCACCCCCAGCCTGATCTACTGTGCCAGCACGCCCACCTCTCATGCTCATAACCGTAGCATTATGTTAAGCTATTCTCTGAAAGTGACTTTTTTCCAATTGCCCCCTAACATCTACTTCATATTTTTTCTGTCATTTGTCTTCGTTACAATTCCTGCATTGTGTTAGAATGAGAAGGTAAGAGGACATTCTGGTTTCATAGCTGGTGCATGCTTAAAGAAAACAAGCCAAAAAAAAGTCTCATCATGGTCACTGTAGATGTAGTCCAATTTTTGGTTTTGATGTACTGTTTATTTTGCAATTGTTGTCATTTTAAGTGTTTTCTTTTGTTTTTATTCAGGATTACGTAGACCTCATATACATTTTCACTTGTCCTGCGTTTACCTTTAGATTAATTTCTCTTTCATACGGTCACTATTGGGTTGTGGTTTTTCCAATATGTACATTAAAGTGGGGGCACATATGAAATGGAGACTTTTGCCAAATTAATAAGGATCATGTTAATACACACAGAAAAATGGCAAACAAACAAAAAACACCACTGACATGATCTCCATGTCTTAATGTATAGTGAAACCATTCTATTGGAAGATGATCAACTCGGGGTGCCTACGTGTATTGACACTTACTGACCCTTTTTATGTGCTGTCCTGTTTTGAAATCTCTATGACCCTGCTGTAACCTTGCTGATAGTCTTTCATTTCTTCTCCCACTGGTTTTTTTCTAGCTGGTTCCACAACTTGTACGAATCCTGAAGAACCTAATCATGTCAGGCTACTCCCCTGAGCACGATGTGTCTGGCATCAGTGACCCTTTCCTGCAGGTAAAGACACATCATCTCCTGTTAATGTTGCTGTATTTGAAAGTCCCCTAAGTGATGTTGGCTCTTCTGTTTTATTGAATTAGACACGCCTCCGTTTTCTAAAACCAGGGCTGCAAAGATAACGTTTATTCCAGTTGTAGTTTTGCAGTGGTAGCAAAATTGCACTCTCCCATGACAAACTCAAAATTGCTCTGCGCTTTACTTAAATGATTCATCTCAACGTGCGATCAACTTCCTGCTTCCCTTATATGGACTGATCTATGAACATGCAAAATGAGGCAGAAAGTGCCTTTCATTTTTTCTTTTGATTGGGTCAGCCCCTTTTACTACACTTAGGGTTGTCACCGAGACATTATTTTAGGACACCATTTTCAATGATATGTCATGCAATAGAGTGCCATTCCATTAAATAAAATCTCTTACAGCACTATTAATGTTGCAGTTGATGGGGTACATTACAAAATTTAATTCACATGTCATTTTTTTTGGTCCGATGCAAGAAATTGATTTTTAGAGTGGTCCTTAAGTTTGCAATCCATTGTGCCCATATGAGGTGATATGCCTGTTCTTTATACCCTAAAGCAATCTGATGAGCTCCTCTGGGCCACACTGTGTCTCTTGGCATTTTTAAGGTGCGGATATTGAGGCTACTGAGAATTCTGGGAAAGGGTGATGATGATTCTAGTGAAGCTATGAATGACATTCTTGCACAGGTAAGCAGTCTGATTAGATCTACTTTATAACCACGTAACTTTCCTTTGTACCTTCTAAAGATTTCCCATCAAATTATTTTTAATAGGTTGCAACAAACACAGAGACGAGTAAAAATGTAGGCAATGCTATCCTCTACGAAACGGTTCTTACTATTATGGACATCAAATCAGAGAGTGGACTAAGAGTGAGTGTTACTCAGATTGGCAGTGCTGTGTGAAGTGGTTCAAAGGTGTGTGCAGAAAGTTTTTGAAAATGCTGTTGTTTATGTTATTACAGGTTTTAGCAATTAACATTCTGGGACGTTTTCTTCTCAACAATGACAAAAACATCAGGTATGTGACGTTCATGAAGTGACCAGCGTGAAGCAGTTTAATGCTGTTCAGTGATGAAGACCTTGAGTGATCCATCGACTGAGTGTTTCAAATGTTGACCTCATTGTTTCTGACATCAGCTTTACTGTGGACTGAAATAGCTCATGTGCTGTCCACTGTAGACTTGATTTTCAAAATTATAGGGCTTTGAAATTATTACTATCCCTAATCAGATATGTGGCATTGACCTCTCTACTGAAGACTGTGCAGACAGACCACAATGCTGTGCAGAGACATCGAAGCACTATTGTGGACTGCTTGAAAGACCTTGACGTGTCCATTAAAAGGTAATTCATGGATGGATTTATATATCACGTATAGCATAAGAGGATGAGTCCCACTGATTACGCTTGTCCTTTTCACAGGCGTGCGATGGAGCTGAGCTTTGCCCTTGTTAACGGCAACAACATCCGGGGCATGATGAAAGAGCTTCTGTATTTCCTGGACTCCTGTGACCCTGATTTCAAAGCGGACTGCGCATCAGGGATCTTCCTGGCTGCTGAGAAGTAAGGCTGTTTATTGTGAAATCATGCAAATTATGTTGTGCAGAAATCATGCGAGAGGAAGCACCAATGATTTCCATATTCACAGCAGTAATGTTGTACGTCCTTGCAGCCCTTAGGAAAGCCTGCAGTCTCTTATTAGAGTTAAAATAGTGTAAAAGCCTAGTTAAGTGAATCCGATCAAATTCAATAAGCAAGCCCATGAAAAAATAAAGAGCTGTTCAAGTAGAGCAGCTCGTGGCTGTGTGATGATAAAATGAGTGATCCATCGGCAGAAGCTCATTCTGTTGACACCTTTATATCTGACAGCACTAAAAGGGATTTGGTGTTTTAAGAGTGTTTTAAAGAGTATTACTTAGTTTGATGCTTTTTGCCTTGGTGGCTTGGTTTTATATTTTGTAAGCTTTAGACTGCTGGTTTGCACATATATATCTAACACTTTTTTTTATTTTTTATTGCAGGTATGCACCCTCCAAAAGATGGCACATAGACACCATTATGAGGGTTTTGACAACGGTAAATGTCTTGCTTTCATTCTTTCTTACTAATAATCTGCTTTACTCCTACCATTAAATTAGATCACATTCATGATTATTTGAGTTTATCACGTGATGTAAATTTAAAGTACACTTTGGAATAGACAGTGTTTTGTATAGGTTGCTGATGAACTCTTAATATTGAGTATAGAATGTGAAGAATGATCCTATTTTCTCTGAGAGCATTTCTTAATCTAAGTCTTGGTGATGTGTGTTTTTAGTTCTGTATGTCATTTAATGCCCTTGTTCCACCAAAATGGTGTTGTGCTCATGCTAAAGCCAGTGCTTGGCCAGGGATCTGCAGACATCTTTCAGTTTGCATTTCTACTAACTTGAGCCAAATGATGATATAACCTTCCCACAAATAAACACAAGTCTTGAGGACATTTTAACATCCGCAATAATTTAATTCAGTGTAGTTTTGCAGTGGTCTTTCCAGATTGAGTAGCAATTAATTGTTAGCAGTTCCTGGTTAAAAGCCAAAGTGTTGTAAGGTTTTTGTTTTTTTTTTGGGTGGAAATGCACAAAACCGCACCCTTTTGGTGGCAATGGGGTTTAAAATGCCCTTCTGATGTACCTGTTTTGTTGTATCTGCTCTTGTAGGCAGGGAGTTATGTCCGAGATGACTCTGTGCCCAACCTCATCCAGCTCATCACAAATAGTGTAGAGATGCATGCCTACACTGTACAGAGACTCTACAAAGCCCTCCTGGATGACATCTCTCAGGTTAGAATCATCTTAACACTGTTTTCTCTTCACTGGACTTGTAAACCCAAAGTGCAAAACTTGTCATCTGTTAGTTTCATACAATAAAATGAATCTGCCAAAACCGAAAATTAGCATGTTGTTGTTCCAAACCCATGTGACCGATTGGGCTTCGTTCAAATGCAAAAGGAGATGTTTGAAAAGAATGTTCATTCTGCTCTTTTCCATTCACTGTATGAAAGTAAATAGTGACAGATGCTGATCTCCAATTTGATGATAATGACAGAGAACTGTTGAAAAAAGTTCATGCAACTTGTGTGCCTACATTCCAAGTCTTCTGCAGTCATAAAATAGCTTTGTGTGAGCAGCAGAGTAGAACGTATACTATATTTGGACCCTGAATGCATCATACCCCATTCAAAGAATGTTTGGAATGACATATGGATGACTAAATGTCAACAGAATTATGTCTGTGTGAACTAACTCAAACTTTTCTTCCTGAAGCAACCTCTAGTACAGGTGGCATCCTGGTGCATAGGAGAGTATGGAGACCTGTTGGTCTCAGGCCAGTGTGAGGAGGAGGAACCCATTCAGGTAAATGACCTGTATGCCCTTCAAACCACACACACACTTATTTTAAAGGCAGAACAATTGTATCCGATTTCATCTCTCAGGTTTCTGAAGATGAGGTCCTGGATGTTTTAGAAGGTCTCCTCGTTTCTAACTTGTCCACCCCTGTAACGAGAGGTTATTCCCTGACTGCTATCATGAAGCTGTCCACCCGTTTCAGCAGCCTGAAGTGAGCATGCCTGTTCTGAGTCACTTGAGGATGTATTTTCTTGAAATGAGCTTGTGTTCCCAAACGGATGAGGCCCTGATCTTTCATTTATTTTAATTTGCTCTGCAGTCGAATCAAAAAAGTGGTGTCGATATACGGCAGCAGCATAGATGTGGAGCTGCAGCAGAGAGCTGTGGAATATAATGCACTTTTCAAAAAATATGATCACATGAGGTAAGCGCTCACCTACTGTTCCAGACTCATCTTTGTCACACTTAATTTTAACATTTAATGTTCCCCCCCCTAGGTTCAGTTTATTATCCTCACTCTTTCTTCCTTTTTCCCATGAAGACCTGCATTACTAGAGCGAATGCCTATTATGGAAAAAACAGGCACTAACGGCCCAGCAGAGATTGTCCAGACCAATGGAGAAACAGAATCAACCATACTGGACACAAAACATCTGCCCAGCATCACTCAACCAGCCAGTCAGGTGGGTTTCTAGAGCATGGTTTCTCAATCCAATAATCTGACGGTGTATTCAGCCTCTAAATGTAAGTATTTCCCTCATAGACATGATGCAAAAAACAGGGTGTCAAAAATCCAGTATACATGACACATCATTACTTTGCTAGAAGTACAGTGTGTTCTAAGGATTGTACTGTCATTTAACAACATACTGATTGATCAGCTGAAGTAACTTCTTAACAAACAAAAATTCACTAAGGTTTGAAAGTTGTCACTTGGGAAAATTACCTAAGTCAGTCTATCCCTCACAGCCTCATTTTCATTAATGTTAAACTCAGTATGGCATCTGACCTTAAAATAAGGTCAGTCAATTTCATGATGCCATGGGCGATACAGGGCCGTCAGGTTAGAAAAAAATAAAAGGCAGAGGACAATGAGCGGGGCAGCTCAAACGCAAGTATTTTAGGCACCAAGAACGCCATTCCTCAAGGTTGAATTGTGCTACTTGAACAATAGCAGAGTAAATTATTTTCATGGTGATTAGCATGTTATGGGTCAAAGAACATGCGGTCAGAAAGCTGTCAATATGGTGAATGTAGTGTCTGGGAATGCATTTATTCTGCATACCTCATCTAGTCAAATTATGTACTTTTTTTTATGCTACAGTTTGGCAATTCGAACACAGTGGCAGTTTAGTTCAGTGAGAGCTCTACTAATGAATCTGATCTAACAAGCTGAATCAGGTGTACTAGGTAAGGGAGACATCCAAAATGTATGGTGCGTTGGAGTCTGTAATAATAGATTGAGAACCTCTGCTAGAGTAATGGAAAAAAACCTCTCTGGTATGGTTGAGCAGATATTTAGCGGTGGTGAAATATTTACTGTATGCTAATGGTCTGTGTTTCCTGTTTTACAGGCAAATGATTTATTAGACCTACTCGGAGGTAATGATGTGGTACCTGTTATCCAAACAACCGTTCCCACAAAGCCTGCGTCAGCTGGAGGAGAACTGCTGGATCTGCTGGGAGACCTTTCTCTGACAGGTCAGCTTGCTGGCACACCTCTGCTGCTCTGTAGCAAATTCACATCCTGCCATTCCTGTGTCCCCATGTTTTGAGCACTGACCAATTTTACTGTAGCTAAGTTTACATGCACCTAAATAACCTGTTTAAAATGGGATCGATGGCTCAGTCGGATTGAAAAGCCTTCATGTAAACTCCTCAGTCGTTCTGATTGAGCTTGATCTGAATGAAATTTTGATCAGATGAGAGCTGAAATATTCTGATCAACAGGAAAAAGTGAAGCATGTGAATCTGACATCAGATTCAGAAGTACCTAGTGCACTGCACTATGATGCATTTGTTTTCTTATGTTTTACAATTTACGAATGCTGCAGTTATTTTTAGAATACAGGTAATGCACATGCAAACAAATATGTGAATCGTATTGCAGTGTTTAGGGTTCATGTAACAGAACTTTCAGAATCTGAAATTGGATTAGATTTGTTCCAATCAGTGCATGTAAACACATCTACTGTTTTAAAAGTAGTTCACCCAAAAACAAAAATACTGTTATTTACTCATCCTCATTTCAGTCCAAACCTGAATGACTTCTTTTCACTGGTAATTTTCATTTTTGGGTGAAGCCCAATTGAACAATTGAACAAGTGAAGCCCTGCTCATACCGTTGTGCCTTCTCCCTCCTTAGGTGGTCCGACCCCCACCCCTGCTCCCTCTGTGCCCATGTCCCAGCCCCCTTTCCTTTTGGACGGCCTCACCTCTCAACCCCTCTTCAATGACATTGCAGCGGGTGAGCTTGCATTAAATTTCATCATAGTGGTTAATGCAAAATAGGACAGTGCAATTATCATATCTGTTTCTTCTCGCAGTCATTCCGCCAATGACGGCGTACAACAAAAACGGTCTGAAAATTGAGTTCACATTTGAGAGGTCCAACCCCAACCCCAATGTTGCAGTTATTACCATCCACGCCACCAACTCCACCGAGGCTGACATGACAGAATTTGTGTTCCAGGCTGCAGTACCAAAGGTTTGTTCTTTCCCATCTAGTAGCACTGTTTACGGAGAACTCTAGTTGGTTAACCTGGCTAATGATATAAAATGCAAGCATTTTTTCTCTCTTTACTGATCATTTAAATGCACCTATATTAGACCTTTTGGTTACATAATCCACTGCTATTAGAGTATTCCTGCATATGTTTAATAAGAATGTTATGAATAAATGAAGACATGCACATTCTGTTACTGTGGATATGGAGCATGAAGTGTTTAAATGGCATATCCCAGAATGTTTTTCTAGTATGATATATTCTAAAAACCAGAATATTTGCTTAATCAGGTTATGCCAATCACAGAGTTCTCCCGGCTTCTGATCAAATTTAAGGTCATCAAAAGTCTTAAATATATAAAAAGTGGTATAATAAATGTCCTAATTGTCATTTTAAGAGGTATTAAATTTGGGGATAGAAAAACAGGAATTGGGAGTCTAATTTGATTATTAAACTTCAAAAGGCTATGATTTCATTAAATAAATGTGAGCAAGTCAAAAGGCAGCACTGTTATGTTGTAGAAGGTTATAAGAAAGCATATTTTGTTTTGCAGTTGAGTGTGTTTCACAGCCTGTTTAATTAAGTTAAGGAATCTGAGATATAATTTATTTTAAGAATGTATGGGTTTGTCGGCACCATTAGCCTCGTGGTTAGTGTGCCGACACATATAGCGCAATTGTGCTCACATCGACCCGAGTTCGATTTCCGTCTCTAAAGCCATTGCCGATCCTGCCCCACTCTGTCTGCTCTCTACTGTCCTATCAAATAAAGAAAATAGCCCATAAATATAACTTTAAAATAAAGATTGTATGGTTTTGTTCTGCATGGACATACAGTGTTAATTGTATTTGTGCAGATCTTAGGAAGTAATTTTTTTTATTATCTCTGGAATCAGGTTGATGCATTCATGTGATGCATACACAATCAGAATATGACCAAATTCCTTTTAATATTGGAATATTCATGTGCATGCAAACACGATTATAGCATCATTCCTGCTCCAGTCAAATGGTTAATTGTTTGTTTGTGTTTTTAGACATTCCAGCTGCAGCTTCTGTCCCCCAGCAGTAATGTAGTCCCAGCACTCAACCAGGGAAGCGTCACGCAGGTCATCAGGGTTCTCAACCCACAGAAGGTAAGATGTTACTGTGAGCCCAGGCCACACTCCGCTTCCTATCGCAGTAGATCTTCAGAGATCAGTCCATTCATCCTGAAGCACCTTCAGTAGTCTGATGAGGGTTTGAGCTGAGCGAAGCTGAATATTGTTACACTGAAGTTGAAGACAATGCCAGCCATTATGGATCTTGGTTTAAAATTAGAAGTAAATATGACACATCTCTGTGATTTTGATGGTTTAAGCTGAAGGCAGCGTCTCACTAGCTGACTCCAAATCAACTCAAAGGTGTCACACCTACCGTTTTTATGAACTTGTCGTAACTTGACAAAAGATGAGGTGCACTCTGCAAACAATCGAAATTGAATTAGGACTCAGTTCATGGGGTTACTTTACCCTTTGAATGTGTAATTGCCTCTTCGAGGCTGTGTCATTTAAGTATAGGAGCATCCTAGAAAAACACTCGGCTACACAACCAAAAGCATTTGCAATATGTGGTTTTGCATTTACAGAGGAAAAGTTTGGATCAAATCAGAGCAGGACCGTTGTTTTCAGCATAAGAAGCTCACTGGTCGCAGCTTTTCCTAGTGGCTGAACTGAACTTGTCAGCAAAGCTCCCTCTGATTATCCAACAGCAATGTAAATAAAGTTTACTGCTGAAAAATCAGCTAGCAAGCTGCTGCCCTTTAGTTTTTAAAAACAAATGCATGAGGACAGTCCGAAGCTGATTAGACTTTCGTTTTGTTCTGAAGTTGAAGCTTGAGGGCTGCACAATTAATTGAAAAAAAAAAAGAAAAAAAAAAAAACAGAATTGCAATATGGCTTAGTGCAAATAGTTGTAAATGCTTGATTTACATATATGAAGAGTTTGGTTCCAAAACGCTATAAATCCATTTTGATTAATTTGAGTAAAAATGTGTTTTTGATGAAAACCACTATTTTCTGTTTGAGGAAAAAAAATTAACTTAAATGATTTTAGCAAATGGCTGCAATATAACAAAGAGTGAAAAATTTAAGGGGGACTGAATACTTTCCGTACCCACTGTGTATATATATATATATGAATGAATGAATGAATGAAGAGTTTGGTTCCAAAATGCTATAAATCCATTTTGATTGATTTGAATAAAAATGTGTTTTCTTTACCAAGAAAGTGGCAAGATTAAAACCACTATTTTCTGTTTCAAACTTTCACATAGCATCTTTAGGTTATAATAACACTAAAAATTCAAATCCAGATTTCGATTTTCAAAGATTTATTATAAAATTGTATTATTTTTTTTCCCACAATGCAATAAATCCATGACACGTTTTTTTTTCTCACATTAGACCACAGAAATTCCAAAATGACATTTCCCTTACATTCAACTTCCAAAAGTGAATTAATCTTTGCCATGTTACATTCATTTAGTTGACTAGTGCCTATACGCTGTATTAGCGCTATGAAATGGTGCGCTGTGATTGGTTGAGCGGATATATCGCATTCTGCAGAGAAGGGAGACTGACGTTTGTCGTGGTTTGGAAAAAAAGCGAGAAAACATGACAGAATAACTCGGTGGATTTCGCATTTTGCGTAAAATTAAAAATTAACTTTTCAATACCGACCAGATGCAATACTGATTTTGGCGGGAAAAAAAGGCGTTAATTGTTTTTGAACCAAACTCTTCATATGCACTGCGTGAATGAAGAAATTAAGATAACCATCCATTTTATTGTCATTTAGTGTTACATTGTAATAATAATAATAATAATTTATTTGATTTGATTTTGCATAAATTACAATTTATTTTTGCATAATATTACAATAGTAATGCTTATTTTAAATCTTTAATATTTTTAATAATATTATTATTATTATTAGCATTATTATTATTATTATTATTATATGGTCATATTAATATATTATAATATTTTTTTGCCAAATTGTGCAGCTCTACAAACACGCATGGCAAACCTTTCACATTTTAAATCCGAGAAATCTCAAACCATGTTATGTAGCCCTAGTTTGCCACCAGTAATGCTTACATTTATAGCAATTAATGACTCAATTTTATGGAGAAACATCTTAACTCATACTTTAAGAAATTTTGTCTTAAGCATGTACCTGACCTCCTCTTTTATTACAGCAACAGTTGCGAATGCGGATCAAGCTGACATACACTCACAAAGGCTCTCCTGTACAAGACCTGGCCGAGGTCAACAATTTCCCCCCTCAGTCCTGGCAGTGATTTGCTACCCTTCTCAATCTTAAAGACCCCCAGCAAGGGAACTATGGGAAAGATGTCCCCTCCCCATTCCCAAATGATCCCCCGTGACATCACCACAGATCGCTGCCCTGGGGTTGCATGGGAAGCAGTGGAATCTTCCTGACACAGTCAAGAGTTGATGGTATGAAGACTGATGATGATGATTACAGTGACAATGATGAAGCAAAATCACAAATATCTCAGTACATATCTTTTCATTTGTTTCTTTGCCCGTCTGTCTCTCTCTCTGCTTCGGGGTTAATGCGAAATGTCCATGCTCACACTTGCACTTAGCGCTGTGCACTCTCACTTAATCTGTCACTGTAGTGCACTCCCACACTCCGGCTCACCCTGCCGCCCAGGGCCCTTACATGGGGAAACATCACTCGTGGCCACTATACAAAGGAGCTGCTTGTTTGATTTGTCTGTTTTTGTCCATGTTTTTAATCTTGTTAATGGGTTTGGTGTATTTTAAGAAAAACAAAAACAACAACATACTGAATTAATTGCGAAGTCTGAACATTTGCACCTTTACGCATTTCAGAATCAAGAGGAAAATGGGTTGTGATGGCGCCTTAAATCATTGTTGTACATGGCATTTCTTAATTTTCGTGTAAAGTTGATCTAATGTCCTGTAATAAAGTATACCAGGTGAATGCTCCGGATACAAGCTATGTTGTGGCTACACCGTATTTCACATGAAACGGTTGTCTGTCAGCGGTAATGTACACACTAACGGATCTGTCCAGAAGTGCTTGACCTTCATCACATGTATCATCATGAATAGGCAAGTTCATACAGCTCATACCTTGACATTGATTTCTAAATGTCATCGACAATGACACTGGAGCGTCTCTTTTTGAGGTGACTGAGAGAGAGAGAGGGTGTTGCTTGTTACTGCTGGCGCGGATTACATCACCCAATAGTTTTGCATCATAAAATCTAGATTCTAGACACTTTTCCCCAAAACCCTTAATTTGGCATTTTGTTGTTTTGTTTGCCTCTACTCATCACAGATGGTGTGTTCTTGTATTGTTTGTTTTTTTAAATCTTAAAATACATTTATATAGATTGAAAATAGCCTACACTAAATAAGTTTTAGCGCAATCCTTAAGGATCGAAATCTATTAAAAATTTAACGTAGTTAAAGAGCGTGTTCTTGAAATTCAAATTGATTTCTCACTGAATTAGCACAACTTGAGGCCCGGCGATGTATAATGAGGTTATGGTCAGCGTAGATGCTGTAAATATAGACTATGAATATATAATGCCTTCATGAATGTAGTTATATGCACCGAATGGACTTTTTTTCTTTTCTTTTTGTTTGACTTTCTGCAGTGATTTGAAGTATGGAAATATTGCCTGAACTAAAGCAATGTGCCTTTGTCATAACCAGTTAAAAAGAAAGCCCTGAGAGATGATCGGTTATCGTTACAGGAAGAGCAAGAGCGTGATGTCTGAAGAGTAGAGGACCTTTTTGTTTTGCTGTCATTTCACTCGAGTTCTCATCTCGTGTTAGTGTCTCTTCTTGCAGCTTCCAAAGGCAGTTCACAACATTAACCTGAATATACCTCACATTGTCGTCTTGTTTTGTCTTTGTCGGCTAGGAAGAGCACTATGATTGTTTCATCAAGTCATGGAAATGCTCACTTCGCGTCCGTATCCTCACGTCATCTCTCGCTTCTTTGTTTCCTTCATCACTTTGCGTAATTACATTCGTTATGCCACACTAAGTCTGGTAACCAAATCAAGAGATGTTCTTTGGGCTTGGGAAATATTTTTAGCAATGTTATGTATATGGAGAAAAAAAAAAAGACTTCTCATTCTATTAGCGTCTTTGTGTTTTGTGGCGATTCTTTCGATTTCTTGGCTTCTTCTGTACATACTGAGGGCTTTTAAGATGCATCAGCGGTTTCTTTTCATCCCTTTTTAAGATCCCGTTTTCTAAGACTTGCTTCCAGTACTGCACAGTGTATAATGTTTGAAGCTCTCTCTCAGAAAGTAGTCTAATTTAACAACTTCCCTGTTTGATTGATTGATTGTTGGAAAGAAAATGTACTATGTGCTGCCTGTATATTGTATATAATTGTAAAACGCATCAAACCGATCAAATCAAATAAAAATCCCATTTGAAGACCTATGACGTTCAGTTAGGGGTGTAATAATGTGCACATGATCTTCAGTTGGCTTTGTTTTGACTAGATGTGCGGTGGATCGCAGTCATGTACTACTGAAAAAATTAAATGCTGCTTATGCACACAGATATAATTTTTTCTTTCAATTTGATGGCCTGTAGCTGATTTCCTCCTTAAGTACTCCCAGTTTTACATAATGCAATTTAAAGATAAATAAAACTCATTTACTCACTCTCATGTCACTCCAAACCTGTATGCATCAAACCGATCAAATCAAATAAAAATCCCATTTGAAGACCTATGACGTTCAGTTAGGGGTGTAATAATGTGCACATGATCTTCAGTTGGCTTTGTTTTGACTAGATGTGCGGTGGATCGCAGTCATGTACTACTGAAAAAATTAAATGCTGCTTATGCACACAGATATAATTTTTTCTTTCAATTTGATGGCCTGTAGCTGATTTCCTCCTTAAGTACTCCCAGTTTTACATAATGCAATTTAAAGATAAATAAAACTGTCATTTACTCACTCTCATGGCACTCCAAACCTGTATGAATGACTTTCTTCTGTGGAACACAAAAGAATATATTTTGAAGAATGTGTAAACTGTCCAAATCCAGACTAGACTCCATTGATTTCCATTATATGGAGACGTTTCAATATCATTTGTGTTCCACAGACGAAAGTCATACAGGTTTGACATGAACTACACTCTTAAAAATAAAGGTGCTTCACGATACCATAGAAGAACCTTTTTTGTCTAAATAGTTCCATAAAGAACCTTTAACATCTGAAGAAACTTTTTCACAAAAAACGGCGAAAGAAGGTTCTTCAGATTATAAAAAGATAAGAAAGAGATGATTCTTTAAAGAACCTTTGACTAAATGGTTCTTTGTGGAATCAAAAATGGTTCTTCTATCTATGGCATCGCTGTGAAGAACCTTTTGAAGCATCTTTATTTTTAAAAGCGTATCTTCAGACCCCTTTATAGTAACATTGCTACATTGAGGAAAGCTTAAAAACCAAAGTTTATAGTTACAGTTTTCCCATAAACCACCTCTACTGATATTTCCATGCAGTTTAGGCTCTTGCATATTCCCAAACGGTCTTTTTTTTGTTTGTTTTTTTTTTGAAGCACTTGGAGTTGAGGCAAAACTTCATATAAAATGCTGTCGGGAAAAGTGAAATATCCCTGCTGTGAGAACACGGTCTCGTCCCTGAATGCTTTCTGAATCTGCTGCTTTTTACACTATGCATGTTGAAGAGTTCAAAACAACCATCTGTGAACTTGCCGAATCTCTCAGCAGGTTTCCCAACACCAAAAGATGATTTTTTTCAGCCGCATGTGAAAAAGCAATGTAAATATTGTCATTTCTACTCTTTATGTAAACATCCTGAAGTAATGCAAGCTAAGTTCGAATTCTCAAGTCACCATTATTCACTATATCTTGCGATACATGCACAGACCCTTGTACATTTGGAAATAAACTGTTGATTCTTCAATTAATCTTCATTGAGAAGCAGGTTTTCTTTCGGTCAGTCAGGGGGACTGGGTGTAACTGCTTGACCAGGTGGACTTTGTATCACATGCTTGGACGATTGCCTTCTCCATCAGAATCCCTTTGTAATCTGTAAAGGTATCGGTTGTTTTTTGAGTGTATCTATACATGTGCCCCCTTCTCAGATATTTTACACTTGCTGTTCAACACATCTGAACTTGTGCAGGAGGGGAGGACGAGCCCAATGAGTCTGACATGCTGAACTGAATCGCAGTCTCATGTCCTCGAGGAACGAGTGTTGGACTGAGTTCGTGATGATGGATGAAAATGACATGGGATATTTTAGACTTATGCTGTGTGTTATTGTCTTTGGGTTGGAGAAAATGATCAAACTAAATAAAAAGTCAAACTTGATGTTTGTTGTGTTGTGTTTTGGAAATAACAGTTTTTTTAGTTTTTTTTTTCATTTATAACTGAACAGAATCTGGGAAACACTGTTCTGGATGATCCAGAATGAGTTTTATTTCAGCGGACACTGTAGTCTGCTGTCACCCTCTTGTGCTTATCTTTGAAACTGCAATGGCATGGAAGCCAATGTCTGAATTATTGAAATATTCTATTTTCATCTTAACCCTCTGTTCTGTTCAGTTGACTCCAGTGTTGTATTTGTAAAAAAACAAAATCAACCTGTTATTTTCCCCTTTAAATTCTTTTTTAAGTGTCAAATCGAAACCCATCAGACAGTAATTATCGAAAGGTTTAAAGGAATAGTTCAATCTAAAATGAATATTTGCTGAAAATATACTCACCCTCAGGCCATCCAATATGTAGATGAGTTTGTTTCTTCATCAGATTTGGAGAAATGTAGCATTGCATCACTTGCTCACCAATGGATGCTCTGCAGTGAATGGGTGCCGTCAGAATGAGAGTCCAAACAGCTGATAAAAACATCCCAATAATCCACACCACTCCAGTCCAACAATTAATGTCTTGCGAAGTAAAAAGCTGCGTATTGGTAAAAAAACAAATCCATCATTAAGACATTTAACTTTAAACTCGTTTCTGGCTACCATAGTAATGATGATAATTAATTGCATTTATTCATGTTTTATATCATGGGTCTGATCAGAGTATGAATAAAACCTGATTGTAGTTTTAAACTACTAAGGTCTCTCGGGCCTCAAACAGATTGTGAAAGTTAATAAAATTGTCTTTGACACCACAGTGAAGACATTCTTTATCTGCAAGGATGAGATCAGGAAATGTTCTATCATTGATTGCAAAATTTTATATTGCAGTTATGACATGATCACATGTCTGTCTCCATCTCATTTGTACTTAAAGGGTTAGTTCACCCAAAAATGAAAATTCTGTCATTAATTACTCACCCTCGTGTTGATCCAAACCTGTAAGACCTTCGTTCATCTTCAGAACACAATTTAAGATATTTTTGATGAAATATGAGGGCTCTCTTGATGCGTTCAAGTCCTCCTGGGACGTTCGTACTTACAAGTTGACAAGTCGTAATTACGACGTCAGGTGCGTTCAAGTCAGTTTAGTCCGCACAAGATGGCGGTGTACCTTCTTTTAATAAATTACAAGAAAATACAAAAGGGTCTGCGTTTTTTTTACTTGGATTTCATTAACTAGCTGCGTAACAAGAACATGACCAATTTAAGTTTATAGGACAACTAAACTATCAATTTAAACAAAAATTTACCGTCAACTACAGACATTGCATCCATCGATTACGCCATGTTTCTCATTGACACGCCCGCAACTCGGAAACGAGTTTCCCACTCGTAATAACGACTTTGTGGTGGTGATCATCTTGGTACTTTTCTGGACCTTGAACGTGGTAGTTACCTTGCTGTCTATGGGAGGGAGGGTCAGAGAGCCCTCAGATTTCATCAAAAATATCTTAATTTGTGTTCCGAAGATGAACGAAGGTCTTACGGGTTTGGAACAACACGAGGGTGAGTAATTAATGACAGAATTTTCATTTTTGAGTGAACTAACCCTTTAAGGTGTTTCGTCAACTAACAACTAAATTTGTCTACTACACTTAAAAATAATGATTCCAAAAGGGAGTTTTTAGCAGTGATGCCATGGAAAAACCATTTTCAGTAAAAAATTCTTAGAACCTTTTTTTTTTTAGTGTGAACATTTAAAAAAATTTAAAGAGCCTTTGTCCACTTTAAAGAATCTTTTGTCCATTGGAGAGGTTCCATTGACATTAAAGATTCTTTATAGAAACAATGGCAAAAAAAATAACCTTTATTTTTAAGAGCGTAGCAATGTCCAACATGTGGATATAAAATTATATTACATTGTTTTTTTTTTCGCACATGGTGTCTCATATGTCATCTAAAGCTCTAACATTTGATAAAGTTTAGTTAGTGGGAAAATTGCTGGTTGTGGTGGAAATGACACTACAAAAAAACAAAAGTAATAATATGTGTTTTACAGATTAAATAACACTTCTATATGATTTTTCATATTAAAAGATTGAATTGTTCCCAAGACCATTTTTGACAGGTTTAGATAGTTTTAATGTGCCCATCATGTAACAAAAATAGACGTCAGTCCTTGGAATAGAAAAGTGTTGAGAAATTCATAACCTGTTTTATGTCATTTGTTGTCAGACTGTTAGGTCCTCATTTCTTCCTCCTCTTCCTAATCAGCTACCTTGACATGTTTACAGTCACAGACTTTATGCTTTATATTTGCTAAAATGTCAAATTTATCTCAATATGCCTGTGATTTATAGCGTGCTACAAAATGTATGTTCAGTTTACAGTTTAACTGCTTCAAAACACATTGCACAAGAAGAGCTAATCATTCCAGTTTGAGTGCTAGAGGTCAGTGATTCTTGATAAGAGTGAATGACTCCAAATCTCTCTAGATTTACAGACCTGATGTTCAACAGTACAGACTGATGGAGGAAGTGTCGTTTATCAGAAACCCTTACAATAGGAACGAAATGGACATTGATTAACTAAAAGAAAATGGTCGATTTTTTTGCCTCTTCTGGAGAGCTGCGTACTCAGTAAATGTTCAACCTGTGTTGAATACTAAATGAAATGTGTGATTTAAAAAAAAGTCAAATCACCAGGGGGTAAATTGTTCAAAAAGTTGAATCTGGTTTTGCATTGCATTTACACAATTCTGACTAGTCCATCTCTGATGATTGATGTAGTTTACAATCAGTAAAAAAAAAAAAAAACTTTAAATATATTTTTGTTTGATATTGACAGCTGTTTGGGGATATGTTGCATGTTACAAATGTTGTATTTTTTGAAATCTACCCTTCTGCTGGGATCAGAATAGCTGTTTTCTTTTATCAAAAGTTTCCCAATTTTACTAAAAACGTTTTGAACAACACAAACTGAGGATTTAGTCCAGATCAAAACCAAGATTGGATTTCGTGATCAAATCCGAATTCAGAATCTTTTTTTTCTTTTCTTTTGAACAAACCATTTTTAAGATTTGATCCAATCCGATGGCCAAAATCCGATCAGATTACTTTTGAACAACTGGCCCCAGGTTTAAATATTCTCATGAATAATTCAGCACCGGAAGTGCAGGAATGGACGGTGTTGTATGAATAATAATGAGCACCGCCCCTTTATGTTTATTGATTGGGTTTATTTGACAGCCGTGCGCTTCAGTCCCACTATGGCGTCTCATCAAATCAGGATGGGCTTTTTCTACCGCCTTCTGTACTGGAATTTATCTGTCGCCGACTGGTATCTTACATCTGGATTTCTGTGCTGAAAGGCGTCAAATGTAGGCGAAATGAAGGACGAGAAAAGCACAGCGCGGTCGCTCCAGAGCGCCGACACGGAGCGGAGAAATGCAGCCGATGTGGAGGATGGCCGGGTGGGCAGCGGAGCGCCGCTGATCCCGGTGCTGCATGAAGCACCGACAGCCCGAGCGGGAACGGGAATACGCGTTTTAAAGGTACCAGATACAGCTCCGTTTAGGTCTCAGCGTTGTGGGCCAAAGTACGTGTGAATCCGTGAACTGCATCAGCAATTATCTGTATAACACTTCCACACGCCGCCGTGTCTCAAAAACTAGCGAGCTCCCTAGCTAGACAGCATGAACGCGCCTAAGATGCTCAGTATTGCTGTCTGTGTAGGCGGTTCAGTGGGTTTTGTATCACATCCTGTGATAGTAGATGGTCTAGATCTCAATGCCATCTCGATTGAAAGAGATAGT